CCTGCCGCAGCGCAGCACCGCCATGCCCGTGCTCGTCACCGTGCTGGACGTCAATGACAACCCGCCCGTCTTCGCCCGTGCTGAGTACCGCGCGGCTGTGAGCGAGAGTGCCCCCCCCGGCACCGAGCTGCTGCGGGTAGTGGCCCAGGACGCCGACTCCGGCCCCCACGGCCGCGTGCGCTACAGCATCAGCTCCGGCGACCAGCGCGGCCTTTTCCAGCTGCACGAGAGCACGGGCGCCCTGCGCCTGGTGCAGCCCCTGGACTGCGAGACCCAGGCCCTGCATGCCCTGGTGGTGCAGGCGTCCGACGGCCCCGGGGGCCACTTCGCCCTGGTGCCCATCGCCATCGAGGTGAAGGACGTCAACGACAACAAGCCCTACTTCCCGGTGGAGACGGTGAGCGCCGGGCTGCGGGAGAACCTTCCTCCCGGCACGCTGGTCACCACGCTGCGTGCCGTGGACGCCGACGCCGGCGCCTTTGGGGAGCTGCACTACACGGTGCTGGACCAGCCCGTGGGGGCACCAGGCGCGGCTGAAGCCCACGACTCCTTCACCATCAACAGCAGCTCCGGGGAGCTGCGTTCACGCCTCACCTTTGACTACGAGCGTGCCAAGGCCTTCCAGCTGCTGGTGCGGGCCGTGGACGCTGGCAACGCCTCGGCCACCGTCACCGTGCGGGTGCTGGTGACAGGCGAGGACGAGTACGACCCCGTCTTCCAGGACCCGCCCTTCCACCTTGCCTCCGGGCCCCCCCCCTTCCACTTTGAGGTGCCCGAGGGTGCCCGCAAGGGCCAGAGCATCGGCCGGGTGGAGGCCACGGATGAGGACGAGGGGGTGGATGGAGTGGTGCTCTATGCCCTGGCCAAGCCCTCGCCCTACTTCGGCGTCAACCAGACCACAGGCGCCGTGTACCTGCGGGTGGACAGCCAACCGCAGCCGGCCGGCCGAGCCAAGCGGGAGCCCCGGGAGATGAGCCTGGGGGTGCAGGCCCGCAGCCCGCTGCCCGGCTCCCGCTCGGCCTCCACCCAGGTCACCGTGGACATCACGCACACCACCTTCGGCCTGGCCCCCGAGCTCAACCTGCTGCTGGTGGTGGCCGTGGCGGCCTCGCTGGGCGTGGTGGTGGTGCTGGCCACCATGGCCATCGTCCTGGCGCTGATCCGCTCCCGGCAGCGCCGCGGCCGCAAGAAGTCGGAGCCGGACGCGCAGCTTAGCCGCGTGCAGAGCGGCTCCCTGCAGAAGCTGGGCCACGAGGAGCCGGCGCTGCCCGGGGGGGACCACATCTACCACCAGACCCTGCCGGGCTACGGGACTGAGCCGGCCGGGCCCTACACGCGGGGTGGCTCCCTGGACCCCTCGCACTCCAGCGGCCGTGGCTCGGCCGAGGCAGCCGAGGACGACGAGATCCGCATGATCAACGAGTACCCCCGCGTGGCCAGCATCACCTCCTCCCTGCAGGAGCACCTGGCCGCCCGCGGCCCCGACTCTGGCATCCAGCAGGATGCCGACCAGCTCTCCGACATCTCCTGCGAGCCCGGCGCCCTGGAGGGCGCCCAGTGGTTCAAGAGCAAGAAGGGCTCCGGCTTGCTGCTGCCCGGGCAGCCCCCGCAGCTGTACCGCGAGGACGGGGGCGGCAGCGCCTTCCTAGGCGTGGGCTGCGGCCTCAGCGTCTCCGGCCACCCCAAGGACTACGCCTTCCCCGAGGACGGCAAGCCCTCCGTGGAGGGCTCGCTCACCGCCATCGTGGCCAGCGACGAGGAGCTCCGCGGCAGCTACAACTGGGATTACCTGCTCAACTGGTGCCCCCAGTTCCAGCCGCTGGCCAGCGTCTTCACCGAGATCGCCCGGCTCAAGGACGAGAGCTCGCTGCGCAAGCCCTTCCCGGCCAAGCCCAAGGCAGAGCCGAAGCCCCGCATCGATCCCCCGCCCCTCATCACCGCCGTGGCCCACCCCGGCGCCAAGTCGGTGCCGCCCAAGCCGGCCGTGGGCAGGACCTTCCCGCACCTGTCGTCCCTGCGCCGCTCGCCCATTAGTCACGAGGGCTCCATCTCCTCCTCCGCCATGTCGCCCAGCTTCTCGCCCTCCCTGTCCCCGCTGGCCGCCCGCTCCCCTGTCGTCTCCCCCTTCGGCGTCTCCCAGGGGCCCTCCGCCTCCGTCATCAGCGCCGAGCACTCGCTGGAGCCCCCGGATGAGGCTGAGCTCAGGATCTAGCCCCGAGGGACTCGCCCGGCTCGGCTCTCTGCCGCCCCAGCGCTGCAGGGCAGGGACAGGGGGGCAGGGGCCGTCCGCACCGGCAGCACGGCTCTGGCGCCGATCTCAGCGGGCT